AGCACCATAGTTTACTTTTCTTTTGGATAATTACAAGTGGTAACAATAGATGAATGTTTACCTGTTTAGTACCTTGTCTCCCTCCTGAGAACGGTCCATGAAGGCAGGGACGCATGCATTAGGCATTCAGCAGATAGTTGTTGAATTAAATAATATAACAGTACTTCACTAATTTGATAATTTAATTAAAAATTCATATAATTGAGTTAGCTAGTTTCCTAATTGCTGAGCATTTTCTGATTTAGATTTTCTGATTTTCCTAAGTGAAATGGTTTGAATCAAGAGTTTTTTCTCCTAAAGCAACCTATCCATTTCTCCCAAGGACTCATTGACTTACTAACACTAGTCAAGAATTTTGCAGTGAGTGATTTATGGGAAAGTGAGGTTTCCAGAGAGTGGAAGGACCCCTGAAATGGAAAGGTCTGGAGGCCTAACTTTAGTTCCTGCCTGGCCACCAATATGAGGTATGATGTCTGGCAGGTGTGGTCCTTAGCATCTTTAGCAGAAGCCTGAGTCTCTATGAGCACAAACACTGTACCTCTTTCAGGCATTCCTAGGACCTGGAGGGAGGAGGCATGAAAGGAAAACTTCTCTGAGTTTTTACTACTTTTTTTCCATCAGTTGCTGAGTAAATACTTACTGAGTGAATAATACATGTAGACATACACTATAAGTTTTTTTTTAAGGTGATGAATATTTATGCTTTATTTGATTGAGTGCTAGAATTTAAAAAATAAAAACTTGTTCACCCTCATTTGGATACATTTTCCTCGGGTAAAAGGTTACAAAATATTCATAGGAAAATTAACTATTGGTATATATAAGGTATTTGCTATTTGCGTAACTTTGTCTAATGCCTTGGGATTGTTTATATACCTGGAAAGCTTTGTGTTCACTCTTTTATTCTTGAATTTAATATACATAGGGAAAATGGACTATCTTCTCTATAATCCTTTTGAGATCATGTCAGAATTCCTTCATTTTACAGCTGGAAATACTGAGATTTAGAGAAGTTAGCCGAACAGGTCCTGTAACAGGACTGGAAAGAGGATATTTTTTTGCTAGCTCCCGAGAGAATGCTACAGATTAAACAGTTCATTGACTTTGAAGGCTGCCCAGTTTTCTTGTACTTTAATTTTTCAGAACGTGACTTGAATCAAAGGTTGAACATAGGAGAATTTGAGCAGTTCTGTTCATCATTGCATGCGTAAATTAACTGTGTGGCAGTTAAAAGGTGCTGTTTGTATGTGTATGTGTGTTTCTAAAGAAAGGTCTGCCAATAGATCATTTTGTTCTGTTTATTCAGAATTCGATTTTCCAAAGTAGTTGTTTGCCTCCCTTAAATGACTCAGCAAGTTAAGTAAAATTACACATTACATTTCAAATAGCAAGTCAACTTCAGTCAACTAATTCATTACTTAAGGAGATTAAGTAACTCCTACATGTAAATATAGATTCAAACAATCTTTAAAATTCACTTGGAATATTTGCTTTAAACATCTGGAAATAAAATCAGTACTAGTTTAAGTCCTTTAGGAGAATATGAAGTTTTGTGTAGGTGGGGAGTTTCTAGAAGTCTGAATGCTTGTGAATGTATTACATAATACTGAAGTGTAAGTTATATAGAGAGCAGACAATTCCTGCTCAGTAGAAACAATGGCTTGTAAATATATAATTGACAGATTATAGTCACCCTAAAAAACATTGGAGGAAAATGCATTTTATGTCCTTAATTATAAGTTATACTACTGTCTTTTTTAACATTATAGAATTCTTTAGTTTTACATTTCCATTTTTGTCAACTTTTTAGTTTGAAAAATTCCAAACCCATAGAACAGTTGCAAAAAGAACACCATAAATACCTTTATACCCTCTATCTAGAGTCACCGTTAACATTTTGATATATTTGCCTAATCTCTCTCTCTCTCTCTCTCGCTCTCGCTCTCGCTCTCTCTCCACACACACACACACACACACACACACACACACACACTACTGAATCATTTCAAAGTTGGAGATATCGTGTCATTTTATCCAGTCATAAAAATGTATTCTATTTAACTGCAATACCATTGTCACACCCAGGGAATTTAGCACTGATGTACCAGTATCATTAAACTACAGCCTATATTAAAATTTCTCCAGTTGTCCCAACAATGTCATTTTAGCTGGATTTTTTTTAACCACCGATTCAAGATCCTTTCAAGAATCATACATTTTTAATTGTCATACAACTTGTAGTTGTCATAGTTCTTTAATCTCCTTTAAGAAGTTTCCTAACTTGTTTTTGTGACACTGACATTGTTACAAATGATGTTGATATTTGAAGAGTCTGAACCATTTGTTTTAAAGTATGTTCCTTAACTTGGATTTGTCTGGTTATATCCTCATGACTGGATTCAAATTAAAAATTCTTTGACAGGGTTGCTGTAAGGGATGTGTCTTTCTCAGTGCATCACATCATCATTGGTGCTATTAAATTAGATCATTTGATTTAGTTGATGTCTGTCCAGTCTTGCCATACCCTGGTCCCAGCAACCTGCCACTTAGTGGTGGTTATAGTAGGATAAAAGCTGTTTTTAAAAAATTTATCAATATATACATTTCATTCAGGAATTGAAATGAACATAGTCCATTTTATAAAAGGTAGATAGTATTATGCCCATTGACATTTTAATTGAATAAAGGAAAGCCCAGCACATATTGGCATTTACTCTATTAGTATTTACTGGGTAAAAAAATTATTTATCTTCCTAATATAAGAATAAATTAATAAGTCAGCTTCTGCCAGCCAGAATCTCTAAGATGTGGTACTTGTTTAAACATCCATTGTTCTGGCCCCCAAACACAGGTTCATTAAAACACATGTACAAGAGAGTGTCTCTCCTTTGTATATTGGTTTTAGTAAAGACAAATGATGTTCTTTGGCTTCTTGTGTTAACAATATCGGCTCAGGCAGTGGGGCAATAACTTGGAATAGCCAAGGACAAATTTCCCAAGGCATGGGATATTCTCCATGACAGAGGAGAGGCCATGATTTGGAAGTGAAGTTGTAACAGTGACACCTGACCCCTTAGCCTTGAGGAAAAATAACATTTGTATTATTTTCCAGTCTGTTCCAGCAAGGGATCTCTTAGTTACAGTGTATTTTAGGACAAACAGGGAGTTTTAACTCAATTTCAAGCAAAGATAGGAAAAAGCCTAGTGGGCTGACTTCTTGATTGAGTAGGCAAAGATGACATGTGGTTTCACTTGTCATTTTCAGTTTTTTTTTTTTAACGTTTATTTATTTTTGAGACAGAGAGAGACAGAGCATGAACGGGGGAGGGTCAGAGAGAGGGAGACACAGAATCTGAAACAGGCTCCAGGCTCTGAGCTGTCAGCACAGAGCCCGACGCGGGGCTCGAACTCACAGACCGCGAGATCATGACCTGAGCTGAAGTCGACCGCTTAACCGACTGAGCCACCCAGGTGCCCCTGTCATTTTCAGTTTTAAGTAAAGCATATCATATACACTGATTCTGCATATCCTTCCTATGTTATATTACTTTTCAGTATGATGTTCTTTGTGACCTGAGTGCAATTGTGGTTATTTGGGCAAAGCAACACTTTTGTGAAATCTCAGCTATTTGTTGAATGGCCAGTAGCATTTGGTAAGGTTCACATGTTGACTTGATTAGAGCTGACGCCACTGTGCTGCTGACCGAAGTCCCAGGTCAGACCCTTTGGTAGCCACCTGCTCGTTTTCCGTTATTGATTGACTAGGGAAATCACCCACCTCTTTGGCCCACGTTTTTGAAATTTTATGTGAGCATTTTCATTACACAGCTCTGCTCCTGGTTTAATAACAAACTGTAGTCTTTGTTATACATTATGTCAAGTCCAGACGTCCTCCTGAATTTTTAGGATTCTGCATTACCGATTTCTATTTGTCCAGTCTCATTTTTCTTTTTTTTCTTTTAATTTTTTTTTAATGTTTTTTTATTTTTGAGACAGAGAGAGACAGAGCATGAACAGGGGAGGGTCAGAGAGAGGGAGACACAGAATCTGAAACAGGCTCCAGGCTCTGAGCTGTCAGCACAGAGCCCGACGCGGGGCTTGAACTCACAGACCGCGAGATCATGACCTGAGCCGAAGTCGGCCGCTTAACCGACTGAGCCACCCAGGAGCCCCTCAGTTTCATCATTTGTAAAGAAGAAGTCCTAATAATTCCTACATCACAGGGTTTTTAATGAGAATTCAGTGAAGTAGTATCTTTAAAAACTAATAACCTTCCACTAAGGAGGATCTTAATACCAGGAATGAGGCTACACTTCAAAAATTTGTTGTCTCATTTCATCCTCCTAATAGCTCTGTGAGGTGGAAGAAGTTATGGTTGTAACACAGGCAGTGGTAATAGATGGCATTTTGAGTACTTACTGTGTTCTAGTACTTTACATATTTCAGTTTAATCCTGTAAATAATCTTATGTGGTTAGTACTATAATTGTCATTTTATGGGTGAGGAAATTTAAGCACAAAGAGGTTAAGTAACTTGCCTAAATTCACAGAGCTCTAATGTTTGGTGGAGCTGGGTTTAGAATCCAGGCTGTACTTCTAGGTACTAGTTTAGCTCCATTTTTTATTTTAAATGGGGAAGCTTAGGAGAGTTAAACTCCCTAAAACTCCCATACCTTATAAGTGTCAAAGCTAGAATGTGAACCCAGATTTTTCAGGTTTCATAACTGTGTTCTTAATTATTACACTATACTGCCTCTGGACTATTAAAAACAGTAAATACTTCTGATGTGGTATTGTAGAATGGCTTGATTTTAATTGAATACAAGTCACATTGCTGTGCTCACTCATACATGAAAGATGACATTTTGCCTTGATCACAGGGGTACCACGCTTTTGACCACTACTTGACACATGAACTCTACTTGTTGAATTGATACAGAAGATGAACACCTTTGTGGATATCTAGCAGGATTCCTGACATTGCTGGGATTCCCAGCAGCGATGTTAGTGTTAATGATTCCATTTCTGGGGATTCAGCAGGAGGACTTGCCTGCCCAAGATGTTGATAACTGGTGGGAGTTAGATGGTACTGGGGAAGGGACGTGGCTGTGGGATGAGACAGCACTGTTTCTCTAGTTAATTCTAGCACCCTCACTGTTTATTGACACCCCTTTCCAACCCTCTGGTTTTGCCCCATGTTCTTCCTGCAATTAACTTCTCTCCCAGATGACTGACTTAACTTCTGCCTACGTAGACTAAGGGTAAGCATTGTGTTTTGGTTACCTACTTAGTAATGGATATGTGATATACTGTGGCTGTAAAGAGGGAAGTTTGCTCTGAAATTGTTCATTGCCAGCTAAACCAGTAGGACTTAGGACATTCTCAATTTTAGGTTTATAGTCCCTAAATTCCTGAAGTGGACTACTGAATCTTGACACAGGTATTTTAGAGATATTTAATTTCCACAAAGGAATGTGTGCCCAGACTGACAACAATTTACTTTATTTTCCAGGAAGGATGCCAATTCTGCTCTGCTCAGTAATTATGAGGTAAATAGCTTTGAAATAAACTGTTGTAGTTTCCTCTTTGGTAGTTTGTCCTCTGCTTCTGAAGATTATTGAATTAGTTTTAATTAAAAATGACTGAATTCATTTGGATTTTCCACTTTAAAATAGGACAGATGGCACCATCTGGTGGACCTTGGAATTATTATAAGCTTGGTAAATTATACATAGTAATTCAGGGAAGCTGGGAAGACTTTATAGTAGGCAACCTTCCCCAAATCCCAAAGATTTTAGATTTTCATTTTATATGCCTTTATGGGATGGAAGCATCTATTCGGAACTGTTTTCTGTCTGTGAAAGTTTTCCATTGAAATACTTAATGCCTTTTCCTAATTACCACTTTTTGCCTATAAAATGCTTTTATGTTATTATTTTGATCCCCATAATAGTCTCATAAGTATTAACACCATACTGAAGATGGTGCTTAGTTGATGCACCATTATGAATAATTTAGTAGGAACTAAAAGATTTGAAATCTGGGGACTTGAGGGTTGGGTTGCTGAAGAAAGGGAGGAAAAAAGGAAAAAAGTTGGTGAGAGGGAAGATAACATTATTTATTTTTGCCTACCTTCTATTTTGCCTGTGTCTTGTTTGGTACATCTGATAGGTTAACTCTGGGTGTAGAAAGAACGATTCATACATTCACGGTCAAGTTTTCATTTTCTAGAATATCAATTCATGAAAACTTTAGGAGATTGGAGTTTCCATTGTGTGATATAGAAGATAGAAGATAGTGGAATTAACACAGTTGGCCATACTCCTTCCTTAAGTTGTTGCTACTAATAATAGGAAGGAGATGGTTGTGAGTCAAGCCATCGGCTTTTTAGGAACTTCCTTGTCCAGTTTGGATTCTGCTGGGTATTTGGGTGTTTTATCCATTGGGGAAACATTGCATTAATTGGAGCTCATGACACTATTGCTGAAAAAATAATGACAGGTTGCATTGTATGTAGTATGCTCTATGAGCCTGTACTTCCCTCAGTTCTCTGGCGTAATCTCTAAAACAGGAAAGCTATATCTCCCCCGCCCATGCTCCTCAGCGCTAACACACGTTTTTCCCTTGTCGGGAGAGTTTACTTCCAACGTTCTATAGCATTATTATTATTATTTTTTTTTTTTGGTAAAATTTGTATTTAACTCTTGCCTCATAATTTTTCTTTTTCAGGTATAAATTTAGTAGCTTTTCATTTTATTGAAGCAGAATCCTGTTTTTTTTAAAAACTTAGTGCAAAAAAAATTTTTTTAGGTTTATTTATTTATTTTGAGAAAGAGGGGGAAGAGGAAGGGCAGAAGGAGAAAGAGAGAATCCCAAGCAGTCTCTGCACTGTTAGCATGGAGTCTGTTGCGGGGCTCAGTTTCACAAACCAAGATCATGACCTGAGCCGGTATCAAGAGTTGGATGCTCAACCAACTGAGCCACCCAGGCGCCCCTATTTGAGGAACTTTTTGAGGAACCTCCGTACTGTTTTCTATAGTGACTGAACGAAATTACATTCCTACCAACAGTGCACACGGGTTTCCTTTTCTTCACATTCTTGCCAACACTTACTCTTTCTTGTCTCTTTGGTGTTAGCCATTTTAACAGGTGTTAAGTGATAGTTCATTTGATTTTTTTGATTTGCATTTCCCTGATGACTAGTGATTTTGCATCTTTTTTATGTGTCTGTTGGCCATCCATATATCTTCTTTTGAAAATTGTCTATTCTGGTCCCCTGCCCATTTTTTAATCAGATTGGTTTTTGGGTATAAGTTCTTTATATATTTTGGATATTAACTTTTTATCAGATAAGTGATTTGCAGATATTCTCATCTAGTAAGTTGTCTGTTCATTTTGCTGATGGTTTCCTTTGCTGTGTCTTTTAGTTTGATATAGTCCTACTTTTTTATTTTTGCTTTTGTTGCCTTTGCTTTTGGTGTTAAAAAAAAAAAAATCATCACCAAGACTGATTTCAAGGAGCTTACCTCCTTTGTTTTTTGTAGGAGCTTTATGGCTTCAGGTCTTACATTCAATTCTTCAATCCATTTTGAGTTAATTTTTCTGTGTGGTTATGTGGTAGTGGTCCACTTTCATTCTCTTCCTTTTGACCAGTTTTTCCAGTACCTTTTTTTTTTTTTTTATTTTTTATTTATTTTTTTTATTAAATTTTTTTTTTTTCAACATTTATTTATTTTTGGGACAGAGGGCAGAGCAAAAGGCGGGGGAGGGGCAGAGAGAGGGAGACATAGAATGAACAGGCTCCGAGCCATCAGCCAGAGCCCGACAGCGGGGCTGTCCACAGGAAGCAGCAGATGCGGTATTATTAGCTGAAGTCGGGAGAGGCTTAACCGACTGCGCCACCCAGGCGCCCCTTTTTTTATTTTTTAAATATGAATGGATACCATTTAATCCTTAAGGCAATATCTTTTTTTTTTAAAGTTTACTTTTATTTATTTTGAGAGATAGAGAACAAGTGGGAGAGGGGCAGAGAGAGAGGGAGACAGAATCCCAAGCAGACTCCATGATGTCAGCGCAGAGCCCAATGTGGGGCTCGAACTCCAAGAGTCTGACTCTTTTTTTTTTTTTTTTTTTTAATTTTTTTTTCTAGCGTTTATTTATTTTGGGACAGAAGATAGACAGAGCATGAGCAGGGGGAGGTCAAGAGAGAGAGGGAAACACAGAATGGGCATGAGCTCCAGGCTCTGAGCTGCATCAGCAAACCTGGCAGGCAGGGGCTGAACTCACGGACATGAGATGTTGACCTGGCTGGTCAGGCGGTAGCTTAACAGGCTAAGCCACCAAGCTGGCCCAGAGTCTGACTCTTAACCCATTGAACCACCCAGGCTCCCCATCCCAGCACCATTTATTGAAGAGGCTGTCTTTTCCCCATTGTATATTCTTGGCTTCTTTGTCAAAAATTAACCACAGGGATGCCTGGGTGGCTCAGTCAGTTGAGTGTCTTGCTCTTGTTTTCAGCTCAGGTCATGATCTTGTGATTGGTGAGTTCAAGCCCCTTGTCAGGCTCTGAGCTGACAATGAAGAGCCTGCTTGGAATTCTCACTCTCTCCCTCTCTCTCTGCTTCTCCCCTTTGCGCTCTCTCTGAAAATAAATAAACTTAAAAAAAATTAAGTAACCACATATGTGTGAGTTTACTTCTGGACACACTGTTCTATTCCATTGATTTATATGTCTGTTTTTATGCCAGTAACAATACTGTTTTGATTTCCGTGGCTTTGTAATATAATTTGAAATCAGGAAGCATGATGCCTCCAGCTTAGCTCTTCTTTCTCAAGATCGCTTTGACTATTCAGGGTCTTCTGTGGTTCCATGAAAGTTTAGGATTGTTCTATTTCTGTGAAAAATGCCATTGGAATTTTGATAGAGATTGCACTGAATCTGTAGATTGCTACAGATTGCTTCTTTCTGGTAGTTCATTATTATCATGTATACATGCAATAGATTTCTGTATATTGATTTTGTATGCTGTAACTTTTACTGAATTTATTTTTAGTTCAGTTTTTTGGTAGAGTCTTTAGGGTTTTCTATATATAGTATCCTGTCATCTGCAAATAGTGACAGCTTTACCACTTTCTTTCCAATTTGGCTGCCTTTTATTTATTTTCTTGCCTAATTGCTCTAGCAAGGACTTCCAATACTGTGTTGAATAAAAGGAGCAAGAGTGGGGCACCTGGGTGGCTCAGTCAGTTGAGCATCCGACTTTGGTTCAGGTAATGATCTTGCAGTGTGTGAGTTCAAGCCCCACATCAGGCTCTATGCTGACAGTTTGGAGCTTAGAGCCTGCTTTGGATTCTGTGTCTCCCTCTCCCTGCCCTTCACCCTCTTATGATCTCCCTCTCTCTCTCTCTCTCTCTCTCTCTGTCTCTCTCAAAAATAAACATTTAAAAAAATAAAAGGGGCAAGAGTGGCATCTTTGACTTCTTCCTGATCTTATAGGAAAAGCTTTCAGCTTTTCACTGTTCAGTATGATGTTAACTTAGGGCTTGTCACATATGGCCTTTACACATTGGCTATGTTCCCTCTCTACCCACTTTTTTGAGAGTTTTTATCATAAATCGATGTTAAAATAATTTTTTTTAATGTTTCATTTTTATTTTTGAGAGTGTGAGTGGGGGAGAGGCAGAGTGAGAGGGGAATAGAGGATCCACAAGTGGGCTCTGTGCTAATAGCGGTGGGCCCAATGTGGGGCTTGAACTCAAAAACCAAAGATCATGACATGAGTTGAAGTCAGATGCTCAACCAACTGAGCAACCCAGGTGCCCTGGATGTTGAATTTTAGAAAATTCGTTGTCTACATCTATTGAGATATCATATTTTAGGAAAGTTTACTTTCAAATATTAATATATTTTTGAGATCAGAGGAAATTAGTGATATGGTGTATATTAATAAGGAAACATTTGAAATATTTCAGTAAACTAATGAATTTGGATTACTTGACTTAGATAAAAGCATTTTTAAAATGTCAGATGCTTCTCAGACTCATATTTGCTCTAATGAAGAGTTAAGGGGAGGGTTTGAAAGAAAAGACGTACTATTCTGTTTATCCTTCAGAATCATTGACCTTGAGGGGTGCCTGGGTGGCTCAGTCCGTTAAGCTTCCGACTCTTGTTGGTTTTGGCTTGGATTGTGATCTCATGTTTCGTGAGTTTGAGCCCTGAATTGGGCTCTGCTCTGACAGTGTGGAGCCTTCTTGGGATCCTCTGTATGCCCCTCCCCTGCTTGCTTGCTCCCTCTCTCTCAAAATAAATAAATAAATAAATAAATAAATAAATAAATAAAATAAACTTAAAAAAATCATTGCTCATGAAATAGATACATTTCTCACATTTACTCATAAAAATCTTTTATCACTTCCCAGGTGTTCCAGTTACTGACTGATCTGAAAGAGCAACGGAAAGAAAGTGGAAAGAACAAACACAATTCTGGGCAACAGAACTTGAATACTATCACCTATGAAGTAAGCCTAGGCTTGTCGAGGGGCTACCGAAACTAGCATTGAGGGGTTGGTTTATTCCAGGGATGACTGGCCACCAAATCATGACTGACTCTTACTGATTTGAGTAGTTTTACTCTAACCCAGTTTTTATTCTGTTCATGCAAGTGGAGGAAATTTGGCCAATGGTGAGGTTAGCCAATGACAGAGTTAGAGGGAATAGTGAAAAAAAAAGACTGTCCTCAATTCTAACACCATTTGCGAGTCAGGGATCCCTCAGACCACCCTTGGGTTCAGTAATTTACTGGAAGTACTCAGAACTCACTGAAAGCTATTACATTCACAGTTATGGTTCATTACATGAAAAGGATACAGATTAAAATTGACCAAAGGAAGAAGCATATGAGGCAGATTCTAGGAGAAATGCCAACACAGAGCTTCTATCCTCCTCTTATGTGGGTGGAGTCAGAAAATGTTTGTCCTCTAATGTGGGTGGAGTCAGAAAATGTTTCTCTTGAAATCAATGTGTGATAATACATACAAAATATTGTCAACCAGGGAAGCTCAGCTAAACTTCAGCTTCCCAAATTTTTCTTTGAGTTCTGTTATATAGGCATGATTGAATGATTGGTTGCCCGTTGTAGTTCATCTTAGCCTCCAGGTGCACTGATTCTGCATGACCCAAAGCCTCCACCCTAAGTCACATTGTTAAGACTATTCATTATGACATAAGACCTCCAGAGAATTCCTTCCTTCCTTCCTTCCTTCCTTCCTTCCTTCCTTCCTTCCTTCCTTCCTTCCTTCCTTCCTTTTTTCTTTCTTTCTCTCTTTCTCTTTCTTTCTTTCTTTCTTTCTTTCTTTCTTTCTTTCTTTCTTTCTTTCTTTCTTTCTACATTTATTTATTAATGAGAGAGAGAGAGAGAGAGCATGAGCAGGGGAGGGGCAGAGAGAGGAGGAGACACAGAATCTGAAGCAGGCTCCAGGCTCCGAGCGTCAGCCCAGAGCCCGACGTGGGGCTCAAACCCACAGACTGTGAGATCATGACCTGAGCTGAAGTCGGATGCTCAACCAACTGAGCCACCCAGGTGCCCCAAAGCTCAATTCTTTATTGCACAAAAAGTGATGTTTTGTATTGTAAAAAACTTAGGAAGTACCAAAAAGGATAAAGAAGAAAGCTAAAGTAATTTATAATCTAACATCTAGTTGACATTTTGCTATGTTTTCTTCCAACCTTATGCTTTATCCTTAAAAAAGAAAGTTTAAGCTATTATATTTGTTATATATGATGTTTGATTTTTTAAATAATTTTTTAAAAAGTTTACTTTTATTTATTTTGAGAGAGAGCAGGTTGGGGAGGGTCAGAGAGAGAGGGAGACAGAATCCCAAGCAGGCTCTGCCTGATAGTGGTCTCGAACTCATGAACAGTGAGATCATGACCTGAGCCAAAATCAAGAGTCAACGCTTAACCGGCCGAGCCACCCAGGTGCCCCTGTGATGTTTGATTTTTATATCTGTCATTTTAATTTATGTTTTGGCTATTTCCTTTCAAATCTGATTTTGTCTTTATAAAGGGTTTAGTTTTTATTTTTTTTAACTTTTATTTTTTTAACATTTTATTATTCTTTTTAAAGTTTATTTATTTATTTTGAGAGAGAGAGCAGGGGAGGGGGCAGAGAGAGAATTCCTAGCAGGCTCCACACTATCAGCACGGAGCCTGATATGGGACTTGAACTCATGAACCGTGAGATCATGACCTGAGCTGAAATTGAGAGTTAAGGATGCTTAACCACTCACACCAGTCAGAGTGGCCAAAATGAGCAAATCAGGAGACTATAGATGCTGGCGAGGATGTGGAGATACGGGAACCCTCTTGCACTGTTGGTGGGAATGCAGATTGGTGCAGCCATTCTGGAAAACAGTGTGGAGGTTCTTCAGAAAATTAAAAATAGACCTACCCTATGACCCAGCAATAGCACTGCTAGGAATTTACCCAAGGGATACAGGAGTGCTGATGCATAGGGGCACTTGTACCCCAATGTTTATAGCAGCACTCTCAACAATAACCAAATTATGGAAAGATCCTAAATGTCCATCAACTGATGAATGGATAAAGAAATTGTGGTTTATATACACAATGGAGTACTACGTGGCAATGAGAAAGAATGAAATATGGCCTTTTGTAGCAACATGGATGGAACTGGAGAGTGTGATGCTAAGTGAAATAAGCCATACAGAGAAAGACAGATACCATATGGTTTCACTCTTATGTGGATCCTGAGAAACTTAACAG